GCTGGAATCAAGATTGTCAGGAAAAATATCAACCTCAGATATGCAGATGACACCACCCTTATGGCAGAAAGTGAAGAACTAAAGAGCCTCTTGATGAGAGTGAAAAAGGAGAGTGAAAAAGTTGGCTTAAAGCTCAACAATCAGAAAACTAAGATCATGGCATCTGGTCCAATCACTTCATGGCAAATAGATGGGGAAATAATGGAAACAGTGGGAGACTTTCTTGGGCTCCAAAATCACTACAGCTGGTGACTGCAGCCATGTAATTAAAAGACACTCCTTGGAAGAAAAGTTGTGACCAACCTAGACAGTATAATAAAAAGCAGAGACATTACTTTGTCAACAAAGGTCCGAGTAGTCAAAGTTATGTTTTTCCGGTAGTCATGTATGGATGTGAGAGTTGGACTATAAAGAAAGCTGAGCGCAATTGATGCTTTTGAACTGTGGTGTTGGAGAAGACTCTTGAGAGTCCTTTGGACTGCAAGGAGATCCCAACCAGTCCATCCTAAAGGAGATCAGTCCTGAATGTTCATTGGAAGGACTGATGTTGAAGTTGAAACTCCAACACTTTGGCCACCTGATGCGAAGAACTGACTCATTTGAAAAGATCCTGATGGTGGGGAAGATTGAAGGCAGGAGGAGAAGGGGATGACAGATGATGAGATGGTTGGATGGCATCACCGACTCCATGGACATGGGTTTAAGTGAGCTCTGGGAGCTGATGATGGACAGGGAGGCAGCCCATGGGGTTGCAAATAGTCAGACACAACTGAGCAACTGAACTGAATTGAACTGAGACTTGCCAGATAGATTATGGTCCATGAAAAGAACCAAAAACATTATTTACCAAGGCCATAAAAATTTTGTTGCGGGTTGGTGAGAGGCCCACCAAAATCTCTAAAATAGTTAAGCGGCAGCACTCCTCTGTAGACTAGCGCTGATGATAGAAGATACTGTTCTAGAACTTGGCTCACTATAGCAATGAGGATAACTGGACCCTGAGACAATAAAGGTCAAGTAGCAGTGCTTAGCTTCCAGGAACTAGGGAATAATAATGATCATAGTGGCTGGTAAGTTTGGAGTGGCAGTCAGGAGAACCTGGCCCAGAGAGTTATGGTTAACAGAGGAAAACATCCCTAGAGGTATAAAAGATGGGCAACCATCAAGGGCACTAGCAGCTGCACCAGCTTGTACCAGCTAAAGAAATTAAGGGTAGATGATTGGAAGACTGAAAGTAACAGCCTCAAGAAAAAGTCACAATCCCTTGCCCAGTGTCCAGACTTAAGCCAATTTTCAGACCATGACTGAAGGAGTAGAGAGTCCCTAGGAGGAAGGACCTTCAACTCTATAGCAAGAGTACGTGATTCCATTCTGCTCATAATTGCCCTTTTTGGGGTGGAGGACCACGTACATCTCCATGGGGTAGAGCCCTTCAGTTTGGACTGAATTGTATTCCTATTTATTTTCAGACATGCAGTTTGCAAGCTGGAATGGTGGTCTCTTGGGGTTCTCAGGAATCCAGAGGACTGATGATAAGAGTGGTGGCCATAGACTACAAATTCTGCCATGGAGAAATTGACACCAACATGCCTGGGAAACTGGGGGAAAGGCCCAGGTAGCTCCAAAGGTTTGGGAGGGCTTGTGATCCTCTAGGCTTCCCTATGGCTACTGCAGCCTACTGTCTTGGTTAGGGGAGGTTTAGAGAGGCATGGTTACCATGACATCACAACATTGTGACATCACTAAAGCAGTAGGCAGCAATGCCTTTGTCACTTCCCTTTGTCTCATGGGAATTTAGAAAGAGATATATGGTAAGGATAAAAGGAGAGGAATTATCTTTTTTATGAGGTCAGGCTGCCTTCCTGATATGCTTAATTTCTTCTTTCACTTCCTGTAAATTATGCCCATTCTAATATTTCCTAGGTCAACTTTACCCATGAAATAGGAATAAGTTCTATCCCAGTTGCATTTCTAAAGAAACAGTAAAAACTCTAAGGGAGCATTAGGAATCTGTGACGATTATCAGTTCACGGTAAGAGAGTTCTTTACCAGTTACGCCTCCCTGAGAACCTAGGTAGGAAAAGAAGGCCTCATTTGTAATTTGTTATCAGTCTTTCCCTGGTAGAGACCTATGGCCATTTACTTGTGTAACTGCACTGGGAAAGGAGGAATACAGACGTATCAAGGTCTGTTGGATACAGCGTCTATGTTCACAATGATCCTGGAGACCTCAAGTATCATCTTCCCTTTCCCCATTAGAGCTGAAGGCCAGGAAATAAGTGGAATCCTGTCTTAGGTTTGACTTACAGTGGGTCCACTGGGTTCTTGGACCCACTCAAGGGTCACTTCCCTGTGTGTATAGTTGAGGTTAGCTTACTCCTGAGGATCAACACAGAAAAGTGCTGAGTGGGGATAACAGAGATTGATTCCATTCATAAGCAAACAAAGGCTGTAGGATGTTGGCTTCAGTCATATCTGTTTAATTCACCATTCACCCCTGTAGAGCCTAGATGAATGGGCTCTGGAGGGTGACCACAGACCTCTGTGAGCTCAGCCAGGTCCTAGAGCCCTGACTGCAGCTGCTGTGCCAGGTGAGGTATGTACACCAGAGCACATTACATTGGCCTCAGGTGTTTGCTATGCAACCACTGACTTGGCCAATCAGAGAAAAAAAAAGGACAGAACACAATTGAATTTACGTGAAATGGACAACTGTATACCCTTAGAGATTTCCCCTAGGGTTACGTCTCTTACCCTAGGTCATAATATAGCCTGAAGAGACTCCAGTATCAGAACATACTGCAGAACATCATGCAGAGGAATCACACTGCTGACCTTATGTCACTGGACCAGATGAACGCTGGACTTAGTGGAATGGTACACTGGAGGCCTTGGTAAGACATAGGCACTCCAGAGGGAGCTGTGAAGATTCAGGGCCTTCTACATGTATAAAATTCTTAGGAGTCCAGTTGTCAAGGGCATGATGACTCTCCTCCAAAGTAAGAGCCAAATAATTGCCATCTTAACATCTATCACAGAAGGAAGTACACCGCCTGGTGGGCCTCTTCAGGTTTTAGAGTCAGCACATTATATACCTGGGGATACTGCTCCAGTTTATGATATGAAAGGCAGACTGCTTTTTGTTAAAAGTTATTTTTGGCTGCAACGAGTCAGTTGTAGCACACGCTTTTGTTGAGGCACATGGGTTTAGTAGTTGCAGTGTGTGGGGTTAGTTGCCCTGCAGCATGTGGGATCTTAGTTTTCCCTCCAGGGATCGAACCCACATCCTCTGCCTTGGAAGGTGGACTCTTAACCACTGGACCTCCAGGGAAGTCCCCAGAGGCAGACAGATGTGAATGAAGCTTAAAGCAGGCCCGGAGCATATTGGATCCCTTCCATCCTGGAAGCGCCCGTGGCTCATTCTCACAGGAGCAGACATGTATTCTAGGTATGGTTTCCCTTTGTTTCCCACAGAGCCTCATCCAGCACCACTAAATGAGGCATATCAAGGATTTGATCTGCTGTCACAGGATCCCACATAACTGTATCCCATCAGGGCCCACTTTACAGTGAGGGTAAGACCATGTAGTGGGGAAGCCCCTGACCATGGGATTAATGGTCATATCATCCGTTGTATCTGATGTAAGAAGATGCTTAGGGCAGCCTGTTGAAGGCACAGCTGAAGCAGAGGCAATGCTCTGCAAAGATGGGGTGTCCTTCTCCAGGATACAGGACACACCCATTGCATCAATGTAACAGTGGTATGCCACAAACGTAGGAATTATGTTAGAACGGATAATATACATTAGTGGCATGGGGATCATAGGTTGACTCTCCATGGCCAACACTTCTTTCTTTCTAGAAATACATCATTCTTTCTAGAAGTTTACAATTATCTTGTACTGAAGTCTGTACACAGATACACAAAAATGTAAATCCTAATTATACCTGTGTGCTTTTGTTTTATGTTTCTTTTTACCCCCACCCCCACCATTGGATCAGTGGTTAAAACAAAGTTTTTCTTCCCTTCTCTTAATTTTGAACTAATTTCAAACTTACAGAAAAATTGTAAGATTAGCACATAGAACTTTTTTGTCCTGAACTATTTGAGTATGTTGCCAGCAATATGCCTTGCCACCTGCGCAAACACTTCCTTGTGTGTATTTCCTACAAACCACGATATTCTCTTACAAGAAGTACAATACAACCATCAGAACCGGGACACTGACAATGAAACTTCACTACAATCTAACCTGCAGAGCCCATTCTGGTTTTGATGGTTGTCTCAAAAATGTCCTTGCAAAAGAACCCAAACCAGGATCATACCTTGCTTTTGATTTTTCATCCCTCTTAGTTTCCTTTAGTCTGAAATATTTCCTCAGTCTTTCCTTGACCTTCCTGACCACTTTTGATGATAACAGGCCAATGATTTTGTAGGATGTCCCTTGATCTGGGTTGGTATAATGTCTAGATTCAAGTGATGCACTTTGGCAGGAATATCACAAAAGTGATGCTGTGTTCTGCCTACTGCATCCTATCAGGGGGTGCACAATTTCAATTTGGTGTGTTACTTGTGATGTTAACTTTGACTACTTGATTCACTTGATTAAGATGGTCTCTGCCAACTTAAACTGATGTAGTTACAATTTACTTTCATATTTCAAGATCAAATCTCAGCTTTAGGGACTTCCCTCATGGTCCAATGGTTAAGGGGGTGTGGATTCAATCCCTGGGGAACTAAGATCCCATATGCCTCATGGTCAAAAAACCAGGACATAAACAACAGAAGCAGTGTTGTAACAATTCAATAAAGGCTTTAAAAAGGTGCTTCAGTAACCAGCTTTAGGTCCAGTCGCCATTGCCACGTTGCTGCGGGGACCCAATTCCTGTCTCACGGCTGGCTGCCCCATTCCGACTACAGAAAAATCTGAGCAGCTGGCCAGTTTCCCTCTTGTTCTCCCTCCCCCAATTTTGTTTTCATGTAAAAGACAAATAAAGAAACCAACCATCCCCGGGGACAGAACGTCCATCGTCAGATGACAATGATGATAAGAAAGTCCTTTACTTTGCTACCAAACTTTACATACCTGAATTTTCACCATTTATACTACAAAGTAAACAATGTCACATAAATCATTTACTCTAAAATTAAAAAAAAAAAAAGATGGTCTCTGCCAGATTTCTTTTTTTTTTCCATTTATTTTTATTAGTTGGAGGCTAATTACTTTACATCTGCCAGATTTCTTCGGACTCAGAATCTAAGATCTGACTGCTAAGTGGGCTCCTTACTTTGGGATGTTGCCCCTCCCCAGTCTCTCTCAGTGAATAGACTTGGGGAAAATCTGTTCTATATATATATACATATACTTACACATACATTGTTACCTACTTAAATATTTTTGTTATATTTTTAAGAGTTTTTATTGAATAATAATTGACATAAAATATTAGTTTCAGGTATATGGTATAGTGATTCAATATTTTATATATCATGAAATGATCATAATAATCTAGTTACCGTCTTGTCACAAAGTTATCACCGTATTACTGACTGTATTCCCTATGTTATACATTACCTCCTGTGACTTACTATTTTATTTTATACCTCCTTATATTAAGTGAAAACCATTCCACTTCCAATCCAAAACCAGAGTTTTTCTAATTTCTCTAAGAAAGTATCTATCCTTTCATTAAAAAAAAATTATTGAAGTATATTTGATTTACAATGTTGTGTTAATTTCTGCTGTAGAGCAAAGAGACTTAGTTATACACATATATGTTGTTTTCCATATTCATTTCTATTATGGCTTATCACAGGATGCTGACTATAGTTCCCTGTGCTATACAGTAGGACCTTGTTGTTTGTCCTTTTGTTTTTGATAGTGGCTCCCATTATCCCCAAGATGCTTACTTTTTTTTAATATATTTACTTATTTGATCAATCCTTTGTATCTTCTGTGTCTCTGCTGTCCCTTTCAGGAACACTCTCCGCACCTGGCTTGGACTCTGACGTTCCCAGTTGGGCTGCTGCCGTATTCCTGTTGTCCTGCGCAAACCTTCCTCATGCTTGGACTAACATCTCACCCTTGACCACTGCTGATCTTCCTTTCCCCACCATGGACTGCCCCCTCACTCTGTTGGGCTCTGACATTCTACCTGACACTTATTTTTGCAAATGGTATAAAATGGGCCTCTAGATTTTTTTGCTGGTAAATAATATCAGTACTGTTTATTATATAGTCATCCTTTTGTCATTGAATTAAAAATTCATCTTTGATATGCTATATTTTTATAATCAGATATCTATTCCTGGATTTTCCAGTCTGTTACACTGGTTCATTTGTCTAAGCCTATGCCAATATCATGTGGCTTTTATTATGGTTGCTTTATAGTGTCCTGTGACATCTGGTAAGCCAAGTGCACCTTAAGCACACTTCTTCCTACATTTAATGGCTAGTCACAGGTACCTTATTGTTTCCAAATGAATTTCAGGGTAATTTAATCCAATTAAAAAGAAATACATGGGGATTATAATAGGAATTTTATTAATTTTATTTTATTAATTAATTTTATTAATTTGTAAAGTTGGCCTTTTTGTGACATACCCAAGAAGGAAACAATGAAGGCCTTCAATGTTTTTTTCATTGTTCAGATCTTGTCTCATACATTTATCCAATGGGTATTGTTGTTGACCATCTACCATGTGCTAACACTGTACTAGATGCTTGGGATACAAGAGTGAACAAAACAGACACAGTCCTTGCCTTTTTGAAGTTTCCATTCTATTAATAGTAGGGGGAGACAGGTAATAAACATATAGTATATGACACAGGTAAATACGTAATATGTCAGACAGTGTTAAATACTATTGCAAAAAAAAAAAAAAAAAGACTCCAGTTGAGAGTGATAGAAAATGCTGGGAAGAGGGTTGTGTTCCATTTAGGATGATAAGGTTACTTGGTGACATTTGAGCATTGCTGTGAGGAGTGATTCATGCCTTCCAGGCAGAGGAGATGGCAAATGTGAGGGTAGGAGCCTGCTTTGTGTGTTAAATGGTCAGAGGAAGAGCAAGAAGCCCAGCACGGCTTGAGTGGGCTGAGTAAGGGGTAAATGTGTTGGCGGATAGTGAGGACTTTCGTTTTAACTGTGAGTGAAAAGAAAAGTAATTCCTGAGTTTTGAGCAAAGGAGTAACATGATCTGCCGAGGGTATTAAAAGATCAGTCTGGTGGGCAGGAGTGGGAGAAAGGAGATCAGTTAGGAATTTCTTAGGATAATTCTCGCCTGAGATGATGGTGGCTTGGAGCAGAGTGGCAGAGATGGTTAAGAAGGGGCGGGGTGGGGTGGGGGGCGGGAATTCTGATCCACTCAAGTGCCGCCATCGTCCACCAGAGGGCGCTACATATGAGTCCTGGTGAGGCTGGGCTGTGACAGCCGGTCCTTTCCTCACCCTCCCAAAACGACAGGTTGTGGCATCTACCTACATAACCGCTACCCCTCCCCTTTTGATTTTATTCAAGACTGGTGTGTCCAGCCTGAAGGGATGAATCACGATAGTATAAGCACCATTCCATTTCCACGATGATATTATCTAATGTCATAACCTTTTCCTTCCAAGACTGTACACTCTCTCTGTTAACCCTATACAGGTACATGCATCAGCTAGTTTCTGAAGGTACCTGGGAAAACAGGTCTACTGACTGTGAAAGGAACTCCTTTCTTTGCCATTTCTTTTGGGAACACTGCCTCTTTAAACCTATAGTGTTGAAAAGAAAATGAAATAATGTTTTTAAAAATGTAATTCATGTGCACTTAAAGAAAAACAGACATACAAAAGAGTTTACAGCAGTACTGTCCAATAGAACTATAATGGGAGCAGCATACATAATTAAGTTTTACAAATGTTTAAAAGTAAAAAGGAACCATTTGAAGTGAAGTTTAATAATGCATTTTAGTTTAATCCAATATATCAAAAATATTATCATTTCAAAATTTAAACAATGTAAAGTATACTCAATGAAATATTTTACATTCCTTTTTTTTTCATATGAGGTCTTCAGAATCTAGTGGGTATTTTACACTTATAGCGTATCTCAGTTTAGACCGGCCACTTTCCGAGTGCTCAGTATCCACATATGGCCACTGTACAGGGCAGTACAGCACAGTGCAGGTTTTCAGCGTGTAGAAGGACATTTTATCATCTCTTCTCTTTCCTTTACACTAAACTCTCTCCTGCACCCCAGCTTGGTAACAATCATGACTGTCTAACCAAAGACACCATTTCCCAGTCTCCCTAAAAGTTGTGTGTGTATCCATTTTTCTACTGCAGTATAACAAGCTTCCACAAACAAGAGTGTAAAAAGAAAAACCACCCACTCACTATCTCAGAGCTCTGTAGGTCAGAAGTCTGGGCTTGGCTGGGTTTTCTGCTCAGGGTCCTACAAGGCCGAAATCAAGGTGTCCACTGGGCTGGGATCTTGCCTGGAGGATCTCGGGAAGAACCTGCCTCTTTTGTTGGCAGAATCCAGTTCCTTGTGGCTATGGCTCTGAGGTCCTGCTTCCTGGCTGGCTGGGCACTGGGAGCTGCTCTCTGTTCCTACAGGCTGCCTAGACTCCTCGTGTGGTCCCAATTCCTCACGCTTTGAATCTCTGACTCTCCCTTCCACCTACTAGTTGGAAAAACCTGTTCCTTTAAGGGGCTTGACAGCCAGTCCCCTGAGATTATTAATAGATTAGGTCCACTTGGGTAGTCTTCCTTTTGCCATATAACATAATCACAGAAGTGAGATCATATCCATATTCAAAGGGCAAGGATTATGCTAGGGGCATTGGGGAATTCTAAGAATTTGGCCATGTGACTAAATTCTAGTCAATAGGAGGTTAGTGGCAATTCAATCCTAGTTGCTCAGGCCAACATTTTGGCTGTCATCCTTATTCTCTTTCTTTTCCTTACACCTCACTGATCAGAGGTCACATTCTGTCAGCTCAACTTCCATAACACACTCAAAATTCAACCACTTCTCATCACCACCCTCTGCCTCTCTTGAGCTGGCCAAAGTTATCTCTCATGTGGTTAGCGCAGTCACCTCCTAATTGGCTAGACCTCGGCAGTCTCTTCTCAATACAGCAACCAGAGTGATCCGGGTACAACTATAGTGGACCATGTCGTTCCTTTGTTCAGCACCCTTGGATGGGTGCCCATCTCAGAATGAAAGTCAAAATCCTTAATATGGACTGTAGGCCACTTTGTAGTCCTTGTAAGGTTCTACTTTGGTTTCCTTATTAGATCTGCGTGTGACCTTGAAATCCTACCTCTTGTCCCTTTTTTCACTTCACTGTAGCCTCACGTGACTTCTTACTGTTCCTTAAACATATCAAGACATCCTTAGGGTTTTTGTGCTTGCTATTCACTTTGGAATGTTCTTTCCTCAAGATATCTGCATGACTAGCTACACTCACACACATAGAGTCGGGGGAGACTTCGTATTCCCCCACATTTCTCTGTTTTGTACTTTGTAGTACTTTTCAATGTACCACATACTCTATTTTAAATTTGATTCTTGTCTTCCCTGTGCTCAGTCACGTCCGACTCTTTGTGGCCCCATGGACTGTAGCCCACCAGGCTCCTCTGCCCCTGGAATTTTCCAGGCAAGAACACTGGAGTGGGGTGCCACTTCCTCTTCAGGGAATCTTCCCGACCCAGGGATTGAACCCATGTCTCTTGCATCTCCTACATTGGCAGGTGGCTTCTTTACCATTAGTGCCACCTGGGAAGCCCGTTTGTCTTACCTGCTTAGTCACTGCAGTTGTGTCTGACTCTGGGTGACCCAATGGACTATAGCTTGCCAGGCTCTTCTGTCCATGGGATTCCTAGGCAGGAATACTGGAGTGGGTTACCATGCCCTCCTCCAGGGGATCTTCCCAACCTAGGGATCGAACCTGGGTCTCCTGCACTGCAGGCAGATTCTTTACCACTGAGCTACCAGGGAAGCCTTTGTCTCCCCTACTAAAACATAAATCCATTAGAACAGGGACCCCCAGTCCCCCTACCTGCCACACCCATACATTTGTTTATTACTGTATAACCTGGTGCACGGTAGGTACTCAAAATTCTTTGGTATGTGAATAATAACATGAGAAGGCGATGATGGGAGTTAAAGCATCCTCAGGTCCTTATATTGTGTGGAAGGAAGATAGTGATATTGATTAATTTTAGACTTTGCTAAGCTAAATGTACATGTTACGTTTTTCAGGATTACTTTTAAAAGAACAGAAATAGAACTGCAACTTCAATGTTGTTGAGAAGGGAAGGGCAAAAGAGGAAAATTTAAGCCATTGGAAGGTAGGAATAAAGGAAAAGTGGCAGAGATATGATAAAAAGAAATCACAGAGCTTTCTGATTCCTATGGAATAATGGCAGATGCCTAAATCCCTTCACAATCCTGCAAAACCCAAACAGATCAACAATGAAAGCAAATTACATTACCCCAGCCTTCACCTACAGCATCCTAGGAAAGGGAGAATAGCTCCAACTTCAATTTACATGTAAATGGAAAGATTAATATCTGAAACCAGAGGAGCCTGCTCCAGAACTAACGTCTGAACAGAGGAGTGGCAGGTAGGGATGTGGGGTGGAAGGGAGAGGAGTGTAGCCTGGTCCTAGAGGAGGCCAGGTACTAACAACATCAGCTAGAATTATCCCAGAAGGAGAGAGGATCCTATTGTGAGAGGAGGAACACTGAGGACAGGTCTGAGACCTGGTGGATCAGAGCACTGGCAACTGCGTGATTGAAGCATTTGTGAAAATTGATGACATAAGTCACAAAAAAATAATCTCAATTTTCTTTAAAGAGAGCAATGATATAAATAACAAATTTATTGAGATTTTTTGAAAATCTCAATTTTATTAAAAAAGAACAATGATATAAATAGAATTCTCCAATCACAATGTAATAAAAGTTTTAATCACAAAAAGAATCTTTCACCTAGAAAATTTTAAAACTCTGTACCAAGCAACTCTTGGGTTAATAAAATAATACAAACCAAAATTCCCAAATTTTATGAAATAGCAGTAATGGAAACACAGTTTATCTGAATCTATGTGATACTGCAAAAGTAAGTTAGGAGAGAATGTATTACATTAGACATCTATGTAAAATTAAAATCAATTTAAAAGCTAAAAAAAATGCAAAGAGAACCAAAAGAAAGCAGAATGAAGGAACTATTAAAGATATAAGCAGAAATTAATGTTAGAAAACAGAAAAAGAAACTAAAAGGAATAAATAA